ATATCATGTAAATTTAAGGTATGTGTAATTCTTGTTCGGAAAAAAGAAAAAATAATACGGTAAAATTCCATATTTGTGCATCTCATTTATGAAAAAAGAAGTAGAGTGGACGTTTGTTTAGTCCGCGTGCGAGGCTGTGGTTGTTTTGAAGTTGTCTTAGGCCGTTATGGCGTCATGGCTTCTACCAGCTATCGATTTATCAGTATTCCTACAGGTCCTTTTGTTTTTCGTTTCAGCTTATGGATGATCTTATCTCCTTTTTGACAACAGTCTATCGAATTTATGATAAAGAACTGTCGAGTAAGACGGTCTGATTAAAGTTTATTAAAAACTGAGCTTCTGGTTTAATTTAAAATAATATCGACCAGGACTCTGAGGAAATTCATCCCAGGAAATTGCAGATGACATTGAAGTTAATATGTTATTTCATCAGTTGCTACTTTTCACAAGGTGTCTTTTCAACATGTCATCGGAAAGGCATCGAATGTTATTTTCTCTCGCGGATTTTTCATCGTGAACAAGACTGCCCTCGTGTGAAGAAGCTTGAGGGCACCCTTTAAGTCCAGCGGCAAACAAACAACCGGTGACTAAAGCTGGTCGAAGTGTGTCCACTGAAATTCTTACTACTTTTGGTACGAGACATTTCTTTTGACATTCATGAGGAAATTTTAGATGAGATTGAAGTAAAATATGTTATTCCATCGGTCACTACCTTCCATGAGGTGTATTTTAGACATCTAACTGGAAAGGGATATAATTTGATAACAAAACACTGCGAGCAAAATACATGTACGTGCAACACATAGCGGGGCGCGAGAATAGTGATGACATGTCTGTCGCAAATGAGATTTGTAGTACAGTAATACAGAAATGAATAACAGAAATAAGGTAAATGAAGTTTATTGAGATTTTGAATTCTGTTCTGCCGTCTCCTTTGCAGAAAAAGCAGGCTGCCACAAGAAAGCTAGCAAAGAAAAACTTCGTCTCAATCCTCCCTCGGTCACATCAATTTATTTTAGTTTTGTCTTGACCAATCGTATCAAAGGAAATGGTATAGACAAACGTCACGGAAATAAAACCCTCACTGATAAACCAACAATGCGTTGTGTATGAATTTTAATGTAATTGGTATGATGCGAATTATATAGGATGCATGAACCGTTACCCTCATATTGAGGAGCTCAAATATTGGTAACTATCCTAAGGACGAACACAATCGAAGACCAAACAATCCTCTCGAGCAATTTGCCATCCTAAAGTAGTGTCGCGGAGAGTTCGAGGCTCTTATTTATGAGATGCTTTTAATAAGGAAAAATAGACCAACTTTGAATTCCATTCCTGCGAAATTGTTCATTTAATTATGTACATTTCTTTGTTTTACTCCATCTCATATCATTCTAGTTTGGTAACACACTTTCCTTTCCTAATGTAACGTCACTAAAACTCATAGTAATTTTACAAAATGGTGAAATATCGTTGTAGAAACGTCATGTCTTAATGTCGCTTCTTTTTGTTCTGAACAGATGGAAGACTTTAATTATACTGGCATTTGCATAACAAAGTTATCGTTTAAAGAAACAGTTGCTAAAACTTTTAGTTTATTATGATAAAAGAAAGTTATAACCTTATTTATACAAGCGCACAGGTGTTTTCTGCGTTTTGACGATTAAAAACATCAGCAATTATTAAACCGATAAATTTACTTTTGCTGTGGTCATAACAATGCTTAACACCTGGTGCTGAGAGTCCTAGCTTTTAATGGTCCGTTATAAATAAACGTTTTCAGTGTTTTGTCGGTACGACGACAATTGTCGACCCAGAGATATGCATCGCTCTATATCCTTCGGAAGGATACCGCTCAGGAGCTCACTCATCTATAACTAAAGAAACTCGATGATATAACGTGAAACCCTAAACTAAGGTTGGTCAGGATGCTAAATGGAATTTTTTACCAGGAAATTTGTGTATCCCTGTTGGAAATTTTTGCGCTGAGTAAGTAAACCGCTTTGTTTTCGTTTGTTGTTGTTTTGTCTTTGTCTTTCACCTTTTAACGATTCGCGAGAGAAAAAAGTTACGTCGAATTCCATAGATTTGACTTTCCATCCTTTCAGAGCTAAAAAGCCGGTTATGTTATTTCTCGAAGACCGCAGCCCGAATGAAACCGCAAAAACAAATTAATCCAGTGCCCAGTTTTTCAAAGGGTGGATGCGATAACGTGTTGTTATTTTTCAGAGAAATGAAATATTGCTTATTCTTTGGGCTTAAAGGGTTTAAACTGCGGGAAATTACCGAACTTGAACACAGGCGCTTGCTTTGCACATCCCGGCTCGAAAAAAATTTTAAAAAAGGAGAAATATAAAACAATTTAAACGTCTGTGGAAAGACTATAATTTAAGGTATCCGTATGAAGACGTAAACGGTGGGCGACTGATTAAAGATGACGTCATAATTTGTCGAAGAGTCTACGGACTCCTGCCAGAAGCTCGTGGGAAAATGTTCGGAAAATTTCGAAAATTGCAAAAAATGTTTCACTGTTATTTTACAAAAGGTTCTCGGCTAACTGGAAACAGTTTACCTGGTACCTAAAGCTGTTTATCGGTCAGTTTGGAATACTACTAAATGAGAGATAACTGTTAAGCCCTGGAGCTTGAAGCAAATTACTTTGTTCACTCTGCCCCTGTTCTCCGAGCTAAAATCTTAACATTATGAAAGAGGCTAAAACCAGATCATGAGAAGGAAGTTGAGTCTTTCCCTACCCCCAGTTCCAAGGCTACATGGATAATTAATTAACTGCCTTGAATTTTTTTACGAACATAAACGGAAGAAACTGGCATACAAGCTCACGAGGAAGAAATATCAAATATAAAACGTGAGTGCTCGATGAATGAAATATTTCTGAAATCTTCAAAACTTTCCGAACATTTTTCGACATGTTTTTGGCTGTTATTGTAATATTTGTTTAACATCGTCGCTAATGTTTTAATAAGTTATTGTTTTTTCCATGTTACTTTTATTGAGCGCCGTCCGTAATCCTCCGTCCTCTTATACAAAATCACATGGTAACATAATTTTACATTCATACTGTGCTAACGCGACTTGCGCTAATAGAGCATTAGTTTTTCAAAATGGATTTGTTTGATTTGTGTATTAATTGCCATTTTGCCAAGTTATTAATTTCTTAATAACATCAAATGCTATTTCTCATTATTTCGATGGCTGTTTTCTTTTTTGACATCCTCGCTGAGTATTTAATAACTTGCCAGGTACTCCGTTACTACCACACAGCAAGATAATATTTGATAACTGTGCAAAAAACTTCACTGTGAGCCTGAACTTTTTAAACTCGAACAATAATTATTTTGTGCGCACCCGAAGGACTAGGGACTACCATAAGCCAACCTAGCGCAAGTTTAGCTTGTTTTGTTTTGCCTTTGTTCAAGCGATTCATGATTGTGTTTTCAGCTCATAGCAATACCGTTTTAGACGCGCCCTTAGAAGATACAGATCCTTCCCCATCATGCTTGCTGAAGGTTCACCTGACTGGCAGCTCATATGAATGTCACTGTCATATGGATAACAACCACCATAATTGCACGTCGATAGGCAACCATCAAAACGAGAATTTAAGATGTAAGAAATCCACAGCATGTTTACCTGAGCACGGTACGTGCTACAAATGCGATCTTTGCATGCAACGAACCATCTGTTGTGATGACGTTTTAACTACAGATACATTTGGACCACCTCCAATATTTAAATGTGGGGAGAAAAGGTGTTCACAAAACTCCGAAAGCAGGAAAACTAGTAGGTATTACAAAAAGACAACAACAACCCTAAATCTAAACATTCAACAAATTTTGATTAATGTAAGTTGCTTAGTTACTGACTCAAAAAATGATTGCATTAAACGTTTTGAGTCTTCAATCCACGAATAATTAAAACTCTCGGAAACTAAAAACCAACGCAGTGCCTTTGATAAGGCCTAAAAATTGGACCGGCCCTCTCAGGAGGTTCTAGGCATGAAAAAGCACTTCAGAGAGCAAGAAGTATTAAAAGAAAAAAAATTTAAGCAAACTTAGCCTAGAAACAGCATGTTTATTGAACCGAGCTAAAACCTAGTAGTGGCTAGAAATTGTTGAATTTGTGTTACGCTAAAGATAACGTTTCTCACGAAAAGAAAGTTAATTGTTAAAGAAATGATAAACTAAAATTTTTAATAATCTGGTTTTGCAAAAAATAATTTAGCTACAGAAACCTAATTTACAGTCTGAAATTCTCCGTGATACAAGGATTCAAATGGCCAGGAAATAGTTCTGTTATTATGGAATTATAAATATTCAAAATTCCCTTCCCTAATCTTTTACAATACAGCTATATAGTTTAGCTATAGTATTTAAGGCTCATGTTGATATAAATTATACTTTGCTAACTTTCTGAGTCACCTGTACTGAGCAATTCATGTCTACTTTTTTAAAGTAAGTTATGCTTTAAAATATTTATCCGTCTTGACTTTGTTTGTTTATCACAATTTACTTTACTTGATGTTTTTTGTTTTTTTTTTTCGTTTTTTCGTTTTTTGTTTTTAATCACGATCAGCATCATCGTCATCAAAAGTATCATCAAAAGTACTGTCAGCAGCAAAATTATTATCAACATCCACGTCATTAGCATCATCGTCAGCAGCAGAAAAAGTTTCTCCAACTTCTTCGGCATCAGTAGTTTTAAGGGAAGCGACACTAACAACAACATCATCATCATCAGCATTATCATCGCCAGTTTCTTCAACATCCTCCTTATCCGTAGCGTCAAAAGTAGCAACGCCAATAACAACATCATCGTCATTAGCATTATCGCCAGAAGCTGTAACAGTTTCTACCACACCCTCGTCATCGATAGTATCAAGCGTGGCAACACTAATAACAAAATCATCGTCGTCAGCATTATCATTGTCAGGAGGAGAAGTTTCTCCAACATCGTGGTCATCAAGAGTAGTAAGGCCAATAACAGCATCATCGTCGGCAGCATTGTCACCGGTAGCAGGAACAGTTTTTCCTTCATCTTCGTTATCAATATTATTATCAGTACAAAAATTATCCCCAGCATCATCCTCACAAATTGTATCATCAGAAGCAACATTATCACTGGCAACTTTGTCGTCAATAGTTTTGTCGGCACCAACGTTTTCACTTAAACCTTCGTTATTAATTGTATCATCGGGTGCAATGTTAGCGTCATCACCATCGTCAAAAATTTCATCAGGAAGATCATTCTTACCAATACCAGCCTCATCAGGTCTATCATCAACAGTATCATCATTCCTGGTGTCTTCGTCAGCAGCTGTAAAACCAATGCCAACATCATCACCATCACCAACACCAGAAACATTTCAAAAGCTGGTATTCTTTCTTTATCTATCTATCGTAACATAATTTTTTTCTCATTTTCCAAGCTTTTTTATGGTTTACACACCTCACTATCATTTTTCGGTCTCAGGCAAATGATGCTGTTTCAGAGCTCGATAGCCTAAATATCACCAGCAACAATTCCTTACAGGTATATGGTTTCATCAATGATATAAAACGCCATCTTTTTAATCTAAAAGTGTAACGAAAGAACAGCTGCAAACTTCGAATCGATTTGAAGGTGGTATAAAATATAATACGCAAGCGCAAAAATTTCTATGCAAAGATTAAATATCTTCTACCTTTAGTTGTAGAGTGATTAGTGCTCGAAACGTTTTTGTAAGTGACCTTTTCCTTCCCTTATCTTAATGAAAAAAGCCTTACTCTCAGAGAAAAAGTTGAAAAACATATTTTATGACATCAGAAAGTCATATATATAGATTTCGCCAAAACGAGAAAATCTTCTGCGGTATCATTTATGCGATAGTCGTTGCTTCTAAACCGAAAGCGCCTCTTAATACTGCATTTGTCAATTATAACAATTAATTGGTTTGCATCTCATTATGATGAATCTTGGAAAAGGTAAAAAAAACTAAATAATGTGTACTTCATGGACTTACAGGAGGCTGCAAATGTGTTTGAAACCTTTACCACTAAGTATCGAAGAACGACCCCCAGAGAAGAACAGTCTGGAGTAGATGAACTCAGGACGGAGTCTATTTTTAAGGTGGCAGTCGCCTTCGAGAAAGTTGTTCTTAGCTATGGCAAATACCATCTACGTGGAACAAAGAGTTCAAAAAGGATCGTTCGCGACAACATAAGTGGGTATTTACAGGGCTGTCTTTTCAGATTTGTGACAATCGATCATCTATTCAGTAGCTGTCTGACTAATCAAGAGAGTGAGTGACTGAATAACTGAAAGGTCGACTTACTGACTGACTGGCTGACAGTGACTGACTGTCTCTCTGAAGCTCTGGGAGATTGAATGACTAACTGATTCCATGACAGAAAAAAAGACTGCATGAATTTTGTTTGTTAATTTCATAAATCTGACCTTCACTTATATTAACATAACTTTTTTGTCCTTTCTTTCGAAAGTCCTTGATATTCAAAAAGGTTATAGACAAAATGCAAATAACTTCTATCTGGAGAAACACGAATGCCAGGCATCTATCAATATTTCCTCTGGGAATTTTGCCAACAATGGTTTGTATACATTGCCGTTATCTTTTTACATTCATACCAGTTAATTATTTGAGTCGTCAGTGTCTTATTAAATAATCATCAAAGTAATTTTTGATTAACTCGTATCTGTATGGCATCTTCAAGAGAGTGCAATCATTTGAAACTTAAATTAGCCGATATTTAAACTACGTGGAATTTTGTTCTGCTCTCTTTTAGGATCAGTGTTAGTTGGGTGTGTGTACAAGGATCTGCATTATTTAATCCAGAAAGGTCACGATAAAACAAGGTACGTGAGTGGCTTAAATATCTGACATTATTTAGCTGCTACTAAAAGCTAGTTTTTATGTATCGTAGAAATAGTTGCGAAGTATAAATGTTTTTTTTATATATATTTATTTTCAAATCGTACACCCCTCCGTCCGTCTTAATAAAAAACCCCATCGATGGAAAATTGAAAAAGTAGAAACGTACAATGGTAAGCAGACCCAACTATTAAAGTATATTCATCCTTACGATTTTTTCTGCCCGCTGAAATAACAAACGAAAGTAAACGCGGTAAAGAAAACTATTAGTCTCATTGCTAAATTACCTAAATGTCAGACTTAAGGTATGTTTCGTTAAAAGAAGCATTATGGGCGCGAGCTCTGAGCTTCCCCAAATTTAAGCCGGTCTAGTGTATTTAATGGATCCTACAAATTAACTTTTATGTGCCATTGGTAAATTAAAGCTGCTAGCTCGTCATTACCTACGCAGTTAACCAAAAACATCACCGCTGTTCATCTCTATTTTAATTGATAAAATTGCATTGGCGTGCGTTGATGTGCTTTTCACTGAAGCTGAGCAGGTCAACGGGAACACGGGTGATACGTTTGGCTACGAGAAACTCTATGAGAGTAAAATACGATACCTGTCACTGGCGCTCCGCCAAAAGTTTTCTCCGCCGTCTTTTGAATCACAATGGGAGGCAATGGGAGACATAAATTCTAAAGAGGGCAAAAGAAGGACCGTAATTAAGAGACTAAAGACACTGACAAGCAATTTTATAGTTCGACTCACTCTTGACATCGTTGATTCATATTATGGGACAGAATGTTGTAGTTTACAATTTTTTTGCGAGCGAGAGAGTAAGATTACTATTCTCAAATTATTTAAAGAGGAGCATAATTTTCTGAATAGTATTCGGCAATCGAATGATCGATTGACAAAACTTTATTCTGAGTTCGATTATGTTCGACTGAGTTTAGTAATCGAACTATTGCTGTTCGAATAGGTCGGATTTCCAAACGTTGGATTAGATATCTCTTGTATTTTGATCCATCTTAGTACTCCACAAGACGCGATGTGCTAACAGATGTTTCTAAAAGATATTCGAGAAAAAATCGTAAGGGTGAATATACTTTAATAGTTAAGTCTGCTTACCATTGTACGTTTCTACTTTTTCAATTTTCCATCGATGGGGTTTTTCATTAAGACGGACGGAGGGGTGTGCGATCTGAAAATAAATATATAAAAAAATATATATACTTCGAAACTATTTCTACGATACATAAAAACTAGCTTCTTAGTGGCAGCTAAATAATGTCAGATATTTAAGCCACTCACGTACCTTGTTTTATCGCGACCTTTTTGGATTAAATAATGCAGATCCTTGTACACACACCCAACTATCACTGATCCTAAAAGAGAGCAGAACAAAATTCCACGTAGCTTAAATATCGGCTAATTTAAGTTTCAAATGATTGCACTCTCTTGAAGATGCTATACAGATACGAGTTAATCAAAAATTACTTTGATGATTATTTAATAAGACACTGATGACTCAAACAATTAACGGGTATGAATGAAAGATAACGGCAATGTATACAAACCATTGTTGGCAAAATTCCCAGGGGGAATATTGATAGATGCCTGCCATTCGTGTTTCTCTAGATAGAAGTTATTTGCATTTTGTCTATAACCTTTTTGAATATCAAGGACTTTCGAAAGAAAGGAAAAAAAAGTTATGTTAATATAAGTGAAGGTCAGATTTATGAAATTAACAAAATTCATGCAGTCTTTTTTCCTGTCATGGAATCAGTTTGTCATTTAATCTCCCAGAGCTTCAGAGAGACAGTCAGTCACTGTCAGCCAGTCAGTCAGTAAGTCGACTTGTCAGTTACTCAGTCACCCACTAGTCAGACAGCTACTGAATAGATGATCGATTGTCACAAATTTGAAAAGACAGCCCTGTAAATACTCACTTATGTTGTCGCGAACGATCCTTTTTGAACTCTCTGTTCCACTTAGATGGTATTTGCCATAGCTAAGAACAACTTTCTCGAAGGCGACTGCCACCTTAAAAATAGACTCCGTCCTGAGTTCATCTACTCCAGACTGTTCTTCTCTGGGGGTCGTTCTTCGATACTTAGTGGTAAAGGTTTCAAACACATTTGCAGCTTCCTGTAAGTCCATGAAGTACACATTATTTAGTTTTTTTTACCTTTTCCAAGATTCATCATAATGAGATGTAAATCAATTAATTGTTATAATTGGCAAATGCAGTGTTAACAGGCGCTTTCGGTTTAAAAGCAACAACTATCGCATAAATAATACCGCAGAAGATTTTCTCGTTTTGGCTAAATCTATATATATGACTTTCTGATGTCATAAAATATGTTTTTCAACTTTTCCTCTGAGAGTAAGGCTTTTTTCATTAAGATAAAGGAAGGAAAAGGTCACTTACAAAAACGTTTCGAGCACTAATCACTCTACAACTAAAGGTAGAAGATATTTAATCTTTGCATGGGAATTTTTGCGCTTACGTGTTATATTTTATACCACCTTCAAATCGATTCGAAGCTTGCAGCTGTTCTTTCGCTACCCTTTTAGATTAAAAAGATGGTGTTTTATATCAATGATGAAACCACATACCCATAAGGAATTGTTGCTGGTGATATTTAGGCTATCGAGCTCTGAAACAGCATCATTTGCCTGAGACCGAAAAATGATAGTGAGGTATGTAAACCATAAAAAAGCTTGGAAAATGAGATTAAAATTATGTTGCGATAGATAGATAAGGAAAGAATACCAGCTTTTGAAATGTTTCTAGTGTTGGTGATGGTGATGATGTTGGCGTTGGTTTTACAGCTGCTGACGAAGACACTAGGAATGATGATACTGTTGATGATAGACCTGATGAGAAGGGTATTGGTAAGAATGATCTTCCTAATGAAATTTTTGACGATGGTGATGACGCTAACATTGCACCCGATGATACGATTAATAACGAAGGTTTAAGTGTAAACGTTGGTGCCGAAAAAACTATTGACGACAAAGTTGTCAGTGATAATGCTGCTTCTGATAATACAATTTGTGAGGATGATGCTGGGGATAATTTTTGTACTGATAATGATATTGATAACGAAGATGAAGGAAAATTGTTCCTGCTACCGGTGACAATGCTGCCGACAATGATGCTGTTATTGGCCTTACTACTCTTGATGACCACGATGTTGGAGAAACTTCTCCTCCTGGCAATGATAATGCTGACGACGATGATTTTGTTATTAGTGTTGCCACGCTTGATACTATCGATGACGAAGATGTGGTAGAAACTGTTACAGCTTCTGGCGATAATGCTAATGACGATGATGTTGTTATTGGCCTTGCTACTTTTGACGCTACAGATAAGGAGGATGTTGGAGAAACTGGCGATGATAAAGCTAATGATGATGATGTTGTTGTTAGTGTCGCTTCCCTTAAAACTACTGATGCCGAAGTAGTTGGAGAAACTTTTTCTGCTGCTGACGATGATGCTGATGACGAGGATGTTGATAATAATTTTGCTGCTGACAGTACTTTTTATGATACTTTTGATGATGATGATGCTGATCGTGATTAAAAAAAACAACAAAAAAACAAAAACAAAAAACAAAAAACATCAAGTAAAGTAAATTCTGATAAACAAGCAAGGTCAAGAAGGATAAATATTTCAAAGCATAACTTACCTGAAAAAGTAGACATGAATTGCTCAGTACAGGTGACTCAGAAAGTTAGCAAAGTATATAGAGATTACTTCATGGAAAATGCGCGCGTACGATTTTTATTCACGAGTTGTGTAGTATCAGAAAACTCACTCGTTCGCTGCGCTCACTCGTTCGTTTTCTGATACGTATCAACGAGTAAATGAAAATCGTAAAAAGCATTTTCCATGCTTTAATGTGTTTATTTCATAGGTGCTGAGATTTTTTCGTGTTGTCTTTTGTAGACAAATAGTACAAATGGGGCAATGAAAAGCGTAAAAAGTAGTTTAAAAATTTGTCAAAGCTACCGATGCTTTCAGTTTATTCCCTTTTCCTTGCTTCTTTAGCTGCTTTTGCTTGGATTGAAGAACTTTTCTGGTTTTCTCAAAGACCAAGTCGTTATGCTGGCAGAATAGCCCTTTTTCTTCAAATGTCGTTCGAAGCTGGCCATTAAACTTCGAGGCGAAGTCGGCTCGTACTGGTTGCCGTCTTTAGTGCGTACGGAGATAATAAATTCGCTAATGAATTCATTCAACTCAGCCGCTGGAATATCTTCAATTTTCCTGTCTTCGTCCTTCATTTTCAAAAATCTTTAAAGCAATCTTACATCTCTTTCAGTTTTTTGAGCGGTATTTTTGTTTTCGTGTTCTAAAATGAATTCTTCAACTGAGTAAAC